GGGTATTATGGGAGATAGGATGTTGGGGTATTTAGATGATTTTTCGTAGTTTTTTTTGAGTAGTTTTTATTTTATGGTTGTTTTGTAGAGTGTTTTTGTGTATGTTGTTTTGTTATGGTGATCGTTGGTGTGTTATATAGTTGCTTGTTTGTTTACTATGGTTGTGTTTTATGTTGTGGTGTTTTATTGTTGGTTGTTTTATTTGTATTGACTTTGGTTTTTTTTAATGGTTTTGGGGTTGGTTTTATTTTGGGTTTGGTTTTTGTCTGGTGTTATTGGGTTTTCTTTTTGGGGTTGGATTGGTTGTGGGGGGATGGAGTGTTGTTACTGTGGTGTGTATGTTGGTATTGGGTTTATGTGTGTTTTTATGTGGTGTTTGATGGGTTTTTGTGTGTTTGTTTGAGATGGTTTAATGGAGTTTATTTTTTTATTTTTTTTTATTTTTTTGATAGGTTATTTTTTGTTTGGTTTTTTCTTAGTGTTTTGTGTTTTGGTTTTAGGTTGATATTGTTGTGTTTGTGTTTGGGATTTATTTTGGGTATGTTTTTTGTGTTTGTTTTGTGTTTGTGTTTTATGGGGTTGTGTGTGGGTGGTGTGTGTTCTGGGTATATCGTTTCTGGTTGGAGGATTTGTTTTTTTGGTTTGGGTTTTTGTTTCTGTTATTTGTAGTTGGGTTGGTGTGATGTATTTTAAATTATTTTGGTTTTATGTTTGGTTTGATTGGGTGTTTTGGTGTTAGTTTTTTTGGTGTGGTTGTTGTGATTGTTTTTTTTAGTTCATGCTTTTTTAGTGTGGGGGTTTGTGGTTGTTTTTTTTCTTTGTTTGGGGTGTATTTGTTTTTGTTTATTTTTTTGGGGGTTGGGGGGGTGGTTGGTTTGTCTGGTGTGTGTTTTCTTTTTTGTTTTTGGTTGTTGTGGTTGTTTGTGGTTGTTTGTTTGTGTGTTCTTGGTTTTGTGGGTTATGATGATTTTGGTTTTTGGGTGAGGGTTATGGTGTTTTTTTTTTGTAGTTTTAGGATTGGTGGTATATTTTTGGTGTTTGATTATATGGTAATAGTGTTAAGTGAATTAGTGGGCATCTGGAGCAGTTTGCAGATTACAACTAGCTGAACACTGCTGGCATCTGTATTTTTGACAACCTGGGTATGAGAACAGGAGGTGAAGTGTGTAGGAGAAAGTATGGCCCTATCTACAGCCAGTGTTTGGTTATTTCTGAGAAGGGTCCAACTGCAGTCCTCCCTCCTGAAGCCCCTAGTTCTAGTTGAGCATGAGTAATAGAGTCTATATGGACTAAGCTGAGTAAACTTATTTCAGTCAAACAAGTTTTAGAAAAGAAACAAGCAATCCAGTTGCAGAATCTACACTAATAATAGATCTATGAAGCCTAATTGAAAAGTTTGTTATTACTTTTATGAGGCAAGGGTACAACTGCACTACCAGTGTTATGGTTTAAAGAGTGACTGTGTTAACTGGTGACTTTTGGCAGAATGGGTTAGGGTTAGGGTTAGTCTGCGGCATATGTTGCAAACAAACATTGATATTAAACACAAATGAATGTGTTTTTAAATTGATTTACATCACTACAAGCAACCGTTCTACACTACGTATATTTATAACATTTTGTGAACTATATGACTGGGCCATTGACTTCTGAAAGAAAATACAATGATTCCTCTAACCAGAAGGGAACGATAGTACCTGCATGACAGGGGCGAGGGGGGCGAGGGGTCCAAGGTGCTGCAGTTGGACCGTTCTGGACTACATGGTGGCAACCCTATGAAAACACAATAATTCATATATTCAGGTGGTTATACACTAATGAAAACATACCTATGAATATTATATTAAATTTCTGCCAATAGTCACAATTATACACATATGCATACCTTTTAAAACCATATAGGCTACTGAAAGATGCCTCTTATAGAAAAATGATGTCTCTATTTATACAAATGTATGTAAATTTAAAGGCTCCTGTGATGTACTGCAAAAAATGTAGAAATTAAAAATAAAAAAAAGTTAAAATCTCATGTTTAACCTGAAATTCTCTGTAAGGTTAGCAGGAGAGCAAAGCACATTTAAACCCATGGTCAAATGTCCCCATGGTCTCAGTGTGCAGTAGGGATTAAACACTGCACAGTAAACCAGGTGAGTTGTGTACCGTAGTATTTTGCAGTGTAGCACGAGCTCACAGGTACAACATGTTCTGCCGGATCTCGCGCTGCTCCTACAGGAAGCGCCGGAGGATCCACGTCGCCAAAAGAAACCGCGTCAAGTGGGACAGCGACAGACAGATAGTAACCGGGAAATGGGCGTGTTGTCTTCAAAATAAAAGCGTTACATTTACGAGTCCAAAACCATTGAAATAAATGGATCAAATGTCAGATACTGAAATTAAAACAGAGTCAACACTTATTAAATTACCGCTCTAGCAGATCATTACAATAGCACATATTCTCCATTACTGTAAAATGCAAATCTAAGCAGACTGTATGTATGTAACGAGCTATAACATTGTTCTTCTTGGAGCTATATGTACATTGAGAGTTAGCGGAAGCATACTTGACTAATAAAAGTGGTTCTGACTCTGATTCTGATTATTACAATGCTGGTCATTATTATAATATTTGTATTTATTTATTTTTACTTACTTGCTAATTAATGGTGAAAACTACAAAATCATTCTTAAATTATTTTGTTTCTTTTTTCCAAGTGTCAGTCCCAATCTTGCTGTCCCATTTATAGTTTTACCCTCTAGTTTTATGTAAATTGTTACCTTTTTGAGAGAGCCCCAACCGCTACGAAGTTTATTGTGAAAATACATACCGGAAGTCATTTTGTTTTTGTTCTTGCTCGCTTGGTGGCAAAACTTTGTCCACTGGGTTTCACTGTAGAAGCTCGACGAGTGCTGCAGGAGGCCGGTCTCTTTACTGAACAGCACCGCAGACTGACGTGGAAACATGGTAGGCGGAACAAACAAACTTTAACAAATACTTTAACTTTGTTACTTTGTCGGTTGTGGCCTGGTAGTTCTGTTTCAGCGGAACGAGACTGTGTGCGAGCAGAAACCAGCCATAAACTTTAACATCAGATTTGGAAACTTGAAGAACACACAGTATAACTAGTACATCCAGCAACCATATGCACCAACAGAATCCAAGCATGAATTATAAACATGTTTAATGTACTTTGTGATCAACAGAGTTAAACCCAGCACAGAGGAACATCAATGCTTACATAATGTGAAAAGTTACATTTTTTTTGTTTGTGGGAGATTTTTAACATACATTCATCCAGTGCTAAATGGATAAAAGCGACACATTTTCATCTACATGAGAGGACTTGAAAGGATCCAGTCTTTCTGGAGCAGTCATGCATATGAAATGTGGAATGGAAGTATCAACAGACACACCCCCTCCATAACTACCCCCCAAAACCTGAAATTGTGTAACACTTCATTAATCATGTTTCCAGCTTACAATATGTAAGTCACTGAATTAAAAATGTCTATAATGCAGAACATGCCACATAGAATATACCACAATGATTATTATCACAACCTCAGTCAGGATTTTTGTGCTGTATGTTTTTATTCCTCTTTAGACAAAATAAAACTTCACATATAAACTGTATTTTTTAAACACGTTTCAAGGAGTTTTTCACATGGGCGGACAGCATGCGTTTGAGTTTTCTACTGAAGAAAACTGTAATAAAATCATATATTATGGGGTTATATAATGTGAAAATATAGTATGTGCGTTTTATTGTTCAAAGCAATGCAAAAACATTAGAAATATAAAGACGCCAACTGCTACTCACCTAATGGGACTAATCTGCACAAAATATTGGTAAATGAACTGATTTACAGACAGAAAAGTTACTGCAGATGAAATATTTTCCAAGAATAACAAAGTTGAATGAATGCTGGGAATTGTGGTTGAAATATAGCCAGAGATACATGCTGTCCAATTAGTGGACAGATAATTCATCTTCATTTCCTCCCAACATAAAATCAATACGTGGACATTTGAACAATTGTATTACTCCTTAGCTGGTACTACTTACTATTTAACTGCAAGGTAAACATTTCTGGCCTTCCGTCGGCCATCTTGGTTTTGAGAAATTTGTGTTGAACTTACAACGTCAGGCCAGTGGGTGGCAGTGTACGGGATGACACAGCATCTACTGTGGTGGCTGAAGTGCAACTACACCATCAAAACCCATGCATGTACAATAAAACGGCTTATGCATAGCTGTCCACTGTAGTTGCCTGAGATGGTGTTTTCACAATCTTCAGGCAAAGAACGTCAGTTATTATTGACAGGATCTGACTGTCTTCATCATCTTTCTGTTATTATAAATGACAGCCTCTGCGGTTGGACATCAAGCGGAAGTTGACGGCTCGGTCAGACCGGGTGAAGAGTGTGGATCTGCACCCCACTGAGCCGTGGATGGTGGTCAGCCTCTACAGCGGCACTGTGGTGGTCTGGAACCATGAGACACAGGTCAATATCACTGTTACACATCCCTCTAATCACTCAATCACTTACTGAGTCCTCCCCACACACACTGTCATATTTCTTTATACGAGCTATTGATTGTGCGATAGAAGTAAAGTCTGTATGCTGTTAATCTGCTTTGAATCCTGTGTGTATAGACGATGGTGAAAACCTTTGAGCTGTGTGACCTGCCTGTCAGAGTGGCCAAGTTTGTAGCCAGGAAACACTGGGTCATTGCTGGAGCCGTAAGTATTGTAGCTCAACTGAAGCATTAATGTGTGTATTAAAGTTACAATTCATGACAGTTACCTTCC